CAATCGATCATTCAGTCATCTATCCCTGCGAGGAGAAATGGACTCGACCTTAAGCAATTAGCCACACCAACACACTACATTCACTCTTACTATAACGTCAAATGTGTTACTTGTGATGCAGATTGAGCGTGTTGACAGGAAAAAGTCATCTCGTAGCTTGCATCTGAAATGGTTATTTATAGCAGCAGGAGAGATCAGCAATCAGTTTGATTGCTTGCCATTGTCCTTGCCAAGTCCATTTCTGCTTTTCATTACTTTATATTAATTTTGAAGTAAAGATATAATGGGATTTATCTTCGAACATCCATTTCAAGTGCACCCTTGTATATCCACCATAACTATTATTTCAGTAATTTTTTTTGAGAAAAATTGAAAATGTTCATAAGTTCGAAAATTCTGTAGGTCAGTACAGTACTATGCGAAACTTGGAGGGTTCCACGAATTCTGGATAAGCTCAGGGGAAGGAATGAAAATTTATGATAGGATTTGGTAACTTTTGAGCCTTTTTAATAGATGGCAGCAATTATTTCCTGAACTGCTCCAGTACGAAGCGGTATACAGCTGTGCAGTAACGTTCGGCGGTGCAATTCAACCAAATGAAGTGGAAGTAAACCCTCACCATCTGTCAACCACCTTCTCTACTTTTTTGTTCTCTCTTGTACCGTTCCAAGCCATTATATGATTAAGAAGTGAATTGAAATTTTGTGTAAATGTGATTTTCCGTTGTCTGTGGAAACATTGCAAATAATCACAAGTATTTCATTAGTGTCTTTTTTACGTCAAAATAATTTTTGTACAGAATACAAACAACTGGGTAAAGCAGTGATTCTTTCAATTTCATTTTTTCGAAGATTTATATTGGAATTTCATGAATATGAAGAATAAACAGTCATGTAATTAATAATGAAAACTTTAAAGCTCATATACACTAGTTCAAGCTCAACTTCCACAGCAGTGGAGCTTTACATGAAGCATTACATTCCGTGACATACTAACAAATTAAACCGATCTTAATTTACAAAGGGTACAAGGATGTCTTCAGAATCCTCAATCATTTTTCTGGTGTTTGTTGTGGACCATATCCAAGTTTCATGTCACTGAGACCTCTGGTTCTTGCATGTCAATCGGATCTGGTTTCTCAGCATAAGAATCAATACCTTTCTGTGATATGTTATAAAATATTCTTTCGCTGGAAAACTGCAAAAACAAGAAGTTTATTAAACACATGTACTGACATTAGTTTCATTTCGATCAATACCGTAAATTCTTCTAGACCTCATTAATAAAACATTAACGATGTTTTAAGAGAAATTTCTGCTTGAAAACAAACAAAATGTGATAACTATGCAAGCAAGTATCTATTTCGCCAACTGGAGATAACTGTTAAATAATTACGCACGTTGCGAGATTCAGAATTAATTGCTTCGATATAATGACCGCAATCTGGTAATTTACAAAGCAAGTATCTGTGATCAACTGCTCTGATCCATTTTTTGCCGAGTGCAGGTGATTGCTTTCCACGCCAGTAAACAAAATGATTGGTTGTCATTACGGCAATTCCGCGATGTGCTATTTGATGTAGTCTAGCAATTATTTCATCTTGAATCTCTCGACCTAATATAATTTGACTTACTCCTTTGATAATAAGCACTATTTTCAGTTGTACTTTTTTCTAGCTTTACTACAGATAGTGTTGTTCTCTTCCCGCATTACATTTTAAAACTTTATACTCATTATTAGAAAAATTTAATTTGTACAAAAAATAAAACTTTGTCATTAGAAATGTTTGGAGTCGGCAGTCACAAAAGAGTATCGACGAAAGTTCGGGAATAAAATGGATATATATCAAATTATAGAATTTAATATACAGAAAGAATATTAAAAAATGTAACCTCCTTCAAAATAGCCCCAAGCCGTAAATGCTAAAGCTGCACCGATACTGTCGATTATAAGCAAAACAAAATTTTGTTCATCCTTCAAAAATATTCATTGAAGCGAATTAAAATTATCTCTAATTGTTGTAGAATTGAAATGAATGTTATCATAGTTATATATCGCCATTTTTATTATAGATCTATCAATTTCTAATAAGCAGGAGAGCCACGAACGAATGATTCTCTCACTAAATTATATTACGCGTCCTACAGAATCAAAACTGATGAGCACTGCAGAAAAGATTCTACAGAGTCTTGTTTCTTTATCCCTTAGAAAGTTCAGTATTTTAGCAACGATGCCGAAACAGTTTACACCCTGTGGATGGGGTAAGGAGTCAGACACATGGTCCACTGAACAAATATCCAACTTCTGTCTCATTATTGATACTACCTCCATCACTATGACAGATCACTATTCTTTTAGTTTTGACCGCTCAGCACACGTCACCCCCACCAGGGACACCTGCAAGCAGATCCCCGTCGCGGTCATCAAACGTCCATCTCTCCTAGCCTAAGAGTTGGACGTTGTTTCACGCTCTGGAAGCGACGCCATGCCACATCATCGCGGTTGCACTCCGATGCACTTTCTCTAAAAGCGACGAAATACACACTACAGAAATGATTCTGTGAAGTATGATCTCGAAGTGGTGGTGCCGCTGTGCGAGTTATACCTTTATTCATCACAACTGATAAGTGGGTTTGTTTTAGAATTTGCTCAACATTAGTTTCTATCTCTGTCCTCCAAATCTTTTCCTACAGGACTCTTCATAATTGTCGACAGATTGATTACACAGCTGAAAGGACGGCTGGATTGCTGGGTGGTCGGAGGGGCAGTAGTTTGCTTGCACTGCTGAGTCCCTCTCTTCCATCTACTGACAGATCAATAACGATCAATCGATCATTCAGTCATCTATCCCTGCGAGGAGAAATGGACTCGACGAACACGCTCCCTTCACTCTTACTATAACGTCAATCTTTCAGATTTATGGAAAAGTGCTGCAGTAAGACAGTAACTTCATTCATTGATTCATCCATGCATTTCATTACAAGTAGCACCTTTCGCAGCTCCAAAGTTCGTAGTCCTCTACGTTTAGCTGCTACTATCCTCTAACTTCGTGTCCGATGAATTTCGGGATCGCTAGGAGTATTTGCAGACTTATTTCTGATGATAATTTCAATTGTCATTGCTCAATATCTTTTGACATTAACTTTACATTTATGCCTAAAATTTCACTTCCGGTCAAATGCTACTTAACGTATTTATGCTGACCTCTACTTTTGTGAGTATGAGTCTCAAATCGTTTTCGTCGTAAGCTCGTGCTACCAAAACTTTGCTTATCATCTTTTCCGCCTCATTTTCATCCTAAAACATTTAATAAATTTCTCTCATACCATTTATTACTACACCCGGCAGTTCGTAAATTGAATGACCACCCCACAGAGAAATGTTTATACATAATTAGTCACTAATAAAATACGAAACAGATACATCTCGGTAGTGTTACATGTCCAAGAAATAATTCTGAATAACTGTCAGCACAATTCACATCACTATATTGAATGAACAATTACCTGTATGCCTCGAGATCTCATTATTTGTTTCAGGCGAGTGCCGCGGAAGCTACCATTTGTATCAATGTAAATTACTCTGTCTTCTTGCTTTCTGTCACTGATTAATAAATTAGCTGTGAGCGTCAAGCATAGCTGAAAATTATGTCTTTTGTTAAAGATAATTAAAAATATTATCAGGCTAGACTAATTTGCTGATTGGTCCACTCGTTATTTAGGTATATCTTCTGATTATTTAATGAGAAGCACGCTCTCCATTTACCTGAGTTTTTCCAGCTGCAACATCGCCCACAAATTCGGTAAGCTTACCCTTGCTGATGCCTCCTTTCAGAAATGTATCAATGTGCTGACAACCAGTCTTGAGTACTAGCCACGGAGCGCCAAGTCTCAAGAATAAATCCAGTCCATTCTCTTCCACGTACTCTACATCTTCCATTTAATCTAAATCAACTAGAATGATGCGCAAACTCATCACAAACAGTTGTCGCGCTTCATGATTGTTTTCAGTTTTGAAAAAAACTTTCAGTATCAATTTTCAGTGTATTTCGCTGAGAACAGATTTCTCCCATATGATGCATCCCTCAAGTTTTATTTTCATAAAAAATCAACTTCAGGAAATATCTCTGCTACATAATAATCAAGAGATAAAAATACTGCAAGAAAAACCATAACTAAATGCACGTTATTGGACTATCAGCAACAATAAGCTTTTTCAAATATTTTATAGAAATAAATAACTTGAAGAAGTGTAAATTTCACAACTTGAAAAAATCAAATCACTAAGAAGCCATAATATCTACAGAAACAAACACAATAAAAATCTTGCCCAAATCATAAATGTACATAAATGAATCCCGATTTTGAGTATCACAGTTCACTGGTTGCAGGCTGATCAGATTACTAACTTTTAAACATATATTTAATAAATATGGAGGAATAATTTACAAACAATCACCTAGGAGTCAAAAATCTGTCAACTGATAATACTTTCCCAATAGGCCACGGCTAAGAAATTTCTTGCTCTAATATTGGCACTATTAGATGTTCATTTGCCATTAAATTATATTTTATCACAAACACTGTAAATCGTCGACAAAGATGAGTTTCTGCCTGAAATTTGCTAGATATGAAAAAATGGGAACCAGACATATAGTTTGATACGTTTAAAATTGTTAAATAAGAATTCAAAATGTCATCGAATACAAAAATGGCTAGTCCTTTAGAACTAGTCAACAATAACCGGCAAATTACAGCGTTGATTCACTTAATCTGCCTATCTGCAAACTTATATACCAAACGAAAAGCAAAATAGCACTTCAAATTTTTCGAAGAGTTGTGGATGATGGAAGTATGCATGAGAAAAGATGCGATAAACTCGTCGACAAACTGATCCAATCTTAGCTATTGATGATTCCTTGATAGAAATTCGACTTGGAAAGTATTTATTACTATTCAACAGTGCTGCTGCCCCATCTAGAGTATGGCGAGTATAATCGATCGCTGAGCACTGCAATCCCATTTGGTAATTATTTACATTAGTAAAACAATTACTAGAAGCAAAAAACAGAAAATAAGTGAAAAGACGAACTAAAAAAACGAGCATTCAGAATGCCAAATTATGATCTACAATTCTAAAAAATAGTTCACTCCATAAATTATACCTCTTTTGGATTTTTATGAGCAGCACAGAGGAATATCCACTGCTCCGTGGCAGTCATCTGTACACAAACATCTGGTTGACATTCATCCTGAAAATTTACCAGTGTTTTTATAGTTACAATTGATCTGTCAATCTTTCAAGTTTTCCCAATAAGAAAAATGGTCGAAATTTTATTTGGTATAAATCCTAGTAGCTTCTCTCAGATTATAAAACTATCAACAAAAAATACATTCAATTGTAACTTTATGAAATAGAATTCTGCAGACAGTAATACTAGTTAACTGCAATAATCCTTACCTGCAACAATAATGTCAAGCCATTCAACTGCATGCAAAACTGTCTGACATGCTCATACTTCCAAACTCCTTCTTCTTGACCTGGAGGAGCTTTTAGGATAGCTTCCACATTTGATGGATCTTTATGGATACATTGCTGGATGTATTGCTGCACATTTAAAGTGCTATCCATCTAAAACAAAATGAATATATATGCACACAAATCAACTACATATTTGGAGATTCGTAATGCTTTGAAAGAGAGAACTAATTGATTAAAAAAACTAAAAATATGCCAATTAGTCAATTACACACTAAAAATTAGTCAATTTTCATATTATAAGGATGAAACTTCGGAAACCTCATCAAACGTCATTTCTGGCCAATTACACCATTCTTCTTTTGTCGTTCCAGGATCATTCCTTCGGTAAACGACACTTTTTTCCACAGCAACACTCATTAAACTCTTCCCGAAAACAGAAAAGATGCAATAAAACAAATTAGCTGTAATTCTAATTGAACAATACTAAACTAGAAAATACATAAAACTCATTCCGTAAGTATGACTAATTTTTTGCGTAATTTCTTTAAATTCTTTACACACTGAAACATTCATTCTTTGCTGTAATATATTACCTAAACTGCACAGCTTTTATTGTAAGAAAAGAAAATAAGAGAACTTAATTTGCAGACTAATAAGCCAAGGAATTTGGAGGAAAAAACTATCTAAAATGCATTTTAATGCAGTCCACAATTTTCTTTCTGCGCAATTTTCAACGAACCGCGTTAGAATTTGTTGTTATTATTTCATGAAAATTTGTTAACCGCGAATAAAACGGTGAATTTAAAATTTACTAACAAATGGCTTCATTCATAACAATTCGTCGTGAGCAGTGGATTTCCTGACTGTATGGTTTATCGAGCAGTTTTCTCGAAGATTCTCGAACTTGGCAACTTACTGAATTTTTCTTTTCCATTGTGATCAAAGTGTCATCGGATAATGTTTTCGTTACATCTTCCTCTGATCCTTTGCTCTCTTCGAGTTCCGCTTCTGTAGAAGCATCACTTAAAAACGATTCATTCATTATTTCTTCTGAGGATTCATAGGCAGGTAACTTTGTCCACTCTTTCCAGAGATCTTCGCTTGGAACATCATACATTAATACATTTATCGAATCATCCGAATCATCTTCCGACGATATACCTATCGCATCTTCTGTTAATTTTTGTAGTGAATCTGCTGACAGAGGTACTTCTCCAAATTCTGCAGTATCTTCCATCATCGTTTTCAATCTATCTTCTGGTAGTTTTTTGGTTGCATTTTTCCATGATCTCTTCTGTGTATCTACCCAATGTGTTTCTTTTAATAAATCATTCAGAGATGAATTATTATTGTCTTGGTCTGACTTTTCACGAAATGATAACTCTTCCAGACTTCTCAAAAGGTTTTCGGTGGGATCAGACATCATTTTTATCAAGTTCTCAGAAAGTTCACCTGCTATCTCATTTGATGACATGTTTACTATAGCCTTCAAAAATCGATCTACCGTGTCCTCCTCCTTTTCTGCCTTATCTTTCACCAAATTTGCCGTATTATCATCAGGAAATATTGGAACTACATTTTCTGGCGACTCTTGTTGAGAATTATCTGAAGCTTTCATCAGATCATTCAGAAATTCTTCAAACGGATCTCTATATGATGCTTCTACCATAGTCAGCAATTCTTCTACCATATTCTGCATGTTGAGTTCCATTTAATTGATGATATCAGCAGTCAACGTTAAATGATACATATCACATTTCAAAAGAAAAATAATTATCTTGTAAACCAGTACCAACATGAGGTATTTATATCATTTTCTTGTCATATGCAAATTACCAGCAAGAATTTTCAGATGTGCTTGTGTTAGCTCACACATCAGCATGTTAGTCAAATTCTTTGCAGTACATTCATTGATAATCTATTCCGCTTGTGAAACAAATATGCAAACGACGTATTAAAAGAATCGAAAAGACCATTTTTAGTCGAAAAAACGATGATATTACGTTTAATTTCACAGTCGCACCGATACATAGCAACTCCGAACTGAAAGCACTAAAATTTACTAAGAAAATGGAATGATTATCCATAAGAAATCATTGCTTGTAAGTGTACGCAAGTTTTTAAAAGTTTCATTTAAAAACATGCAAATTTTTTTTCCTGAAAATTTACATCGGTCGTAGCAAAGCGAATATACACGAACTGCGCAGAAATGCTCTTTGCGGGTTCTTCTCCATCGAGAATTGAAAACATCCACCAGACTTGATTTGATTTCATTCGCTTTTTACGGGAATTGATTTTATAGCTTTTTTGTCTACATTTCCAGTCTTTCCAAGTAACCAAGAATATACGTTTTATCGATAAAACCTTATTCATAGAACGGTATTTTTTTTAAAAATTTCACTACTGTACATTTCTTTGCACACTATATGATAAAATTTTCCAATTTTACATATTTTACGGTTGATGTTGAGGAATTGTGACTGATTTACAACGAATTTCTAGCGGTAATATAGTTTTTCTACTGTAAGTATTAATCAGTTTCACAAATGAAACTCTATTCCGGTATCATACATAAATAATTATTATTGTTAATCCGGCACTGATACTCAACACTTCTATAGTGCTGATTCACTTTCATTTTTCAGGATAACGGATTAGAAAACAAAGCAAAATTATTCCTTGTTAGTTGGGATAATAAACCAGCCATCTATGGATTCATATTCAGTATGTGAATTCAACTTTGCGTATATACAAATTCAGAAAGTTGGAAATTTTTCTCGTCCAACAGTCGTTGCAAATACTCTTTTACGCGTTTATTTAGTTAATAGCTTGAATTGGATCAGATTTAAATTTTCAGCAAACCTTTACTTTTCCACCACTAATTTCAGCTTTCAGTATTTCTGTACGTTATAATATTATTGCATTTTACTGTTCAAATTAATTCGTTATTTTAAGTGTAATAAATCGCGAATTTCGGAATAGTTCAATTTACTAAATGTTAGCTTGATATTTTTTGAAATACGTGAATTCCATCATGCTTGAAAAACATGAATTAGCAACTACAACTTTGTAGTAGTGAAATACACAAGTCACTAAACAATTAATAAACGTTTTCTCTTACCACGGTAAAAACGTTAGTTTACATGGCTTTAGTTTCAAAGAAGTATGTGCTGCAGTAAATTCCATTTCCACTGCTGCAACTGATAATTGTGTCTATTTGATTCAAAATATTTCTCAGCCATTCTATATTAATGCATTTTTGAAATGCTTGTCACAATCATAAATTTGATAGATATTGTAATTCTGAAATACTTTAAGTATTTCAGTAACACTGGATGTTACAATGCTGTAAATAACAAAACTTTGAACTGTTTATCTTTTAGGCATAACAAATTACTATTAAAATCTCACTTAAATTATTTTACGTGGTTATAATTTTGAGAGAAATATTAATTTGTGTGATAACGTACCATTGGAAAACTTTAAGAATTTGCTAAAGGTAATAATCGTTAATCCATGCGATTTTTCAAAATATTTATTTAAATGAAGACAAAATCAAATATTTAAAAGTGATAGTTTTCGTATATTTCAACATTTAAATCCTATCTCCGCAAACTTTCAATCATTTTCGCTGAACCCAAATCTGAATTTTTTAGATGTGTCAAGATCCTTTTCATGTAGTTTTTAGTATTTGTGGCGATTATTTACTGCATTTTATTTTACCAACCTATACCTTTGTTACTATTAAGTAACTAATAAATTACTAGTAATTATTTATTTGCTATTGTTGAAATATATTTTGAAAGGAAGAATTGCTCACTGAAAATGAGAATTATGGAATTTTAACAATATGTGTGAATAAAAAAGTCGTTATTAGTTAATACTTTCAATTTTTATAATCGCTAAAAGCAAATAAATTTTGAAAAAATTTTCTAGCAAACACTTTGGCTTATGTACTCTTCATTTACCATATGCTTTGATTGTTCATTCAACTAAAACAATACGAAGAGATTTGAGAAAGTATTAAGCAAACATAAATTTTGAAAATAAAACAAGTGGAAAGATTACATTTAAAAAGCTAAGCAAACAAAAGAAATGCTAATGCTCAACAAATAAAAAACTTTTCAAATCAGTGATTCAGCAATAAATACAATAATAAGGGCCTGACGTGATGATTTTAATTTTCTTGACCAAAAACAACTGATTCACTGGGAAAGATGAATGGAAGATATGAAAATGATTCATCTGATCGAAGTGATTTTATGGTGATTTTATTCCTAAATTCCTTCACTTTTTGCCAGCTCATTCATTGCTGCGAAAGAGTATCTAAAATGGAAGATATGTAAATTTTCCGTCAATTTATGGCTAGCTAACAAATTTTTGATATTATTGTTGTTATGATTCTTCCTTTTTCGATAATATTACGTACTGTTTATTTTCTCACATTTTAAGCTGTACAAACCGTTTTCTTTCGAATGTTTTTCATTTTGGTCGTTGAAATTTGCTTATTTGTTTGTTAATTTTATTGTCTCTTTCGTCAATAGTTTTTGCATTTTGGGCCAAGCCAAGTTTTATGATTTTTCTTTTCAAACTTTTCGTTTTTATCGTTAAAATTTGCTCACTTATTTATTTATTTGCTCATTTATTTTATTTTACTGTCTAACACATTCACATTTATTTTCATTTCAATTTTGTTACATTTTATAAAATTTCTTGACACGTTTTATTGAAATTTTAGTTTTTTTCAAGCTATGCTTTGCAGTGCTAAAAAGTATTTATATATGTATAGTATTTGTATTTTGATATTTATATATATAGATAGATAGATGGGTAGATAGATAGATAAATAGATAGATAGAATTTGTATTTTTATGTTAATAATTTTGAAACTTTTTTGAAAAGTTACTTTTCATGAAAAAATTTTATTATCTAAAATGAACTGAATATTTAAAAAAACTGAAAAGTTTTAAAGTGTGATACAAAGTTAATCATTCACTGTACATTTCATTGAATCTTTATGTAATATGAAAGCAAACCATACTAAAAGAGAACAATGATGGCGAATAAAACTATTTTAAAAAAGTAAATAAAAAACACTGATTGGATTTATTTATTAGTAGTATTCAATACCTTTGAGTTAATTTGTTTGCTTTTAAACTTTAGTTAAATAAATCTCAAAATAAGTTAATTCAGTTGCAGAAAGCACAATATTTAACGCATTGTATGAAAACAAAAATAAGTACTTTTTCAAGCGCAGCCCAATTTTTTAGCAGAAAAAACAATTGTGTGGTTGAAATGATAGAAAAAGTATTATTATCTGGCTGCTGAAAACTTTTGTTTAGCAGTGATTTGAAAAATCCAACTGATATTTTACAGAAAAATTTGCTACAAATACGAAGAAGCCAGAATTCAAAATATTATGTAAAGTTATGTTTAGGAAGCACACTAAATATGCTTATTCACAGATAAATTATTGACCAGAGTAATAATAAAGACTGGTAACTACTGCTTTTATCGATAATTTAAAGACAGAGTAAGTTAGGTAATATATGGTATTGTTTTGGAAAGCACGTCAGTATTGCAAAATATACTGTAGTCACGAATTCTGCAGTACACAATGCTGTAGAACTTAAAACTATATCTTAATGCAAGCTTGTAGTAATTCTTATCATATTGATGAAAGTAACATTGGCATACAAATCAAGCTCAATGCGTACTGCATAAAAAATGAATTAGAAATGCGAGGGAAAGTTCTTCTTACTTGTAAAATTTTAGGCTAAAGAATTAGAGTATGAAAAACAACGTAAAGTAACTAATCAATTGACATTATATATGAACTGTATTTATGATCAATTTGTAATCATAAATATAAAAATTTAATTTTAATTCTAGTTTTTGAGTTTAACTTTTCTAAAAGTGACTGATTTGATATAAATTGATTGATTTTTGTATGAACTGAAAATGAAAACAATAATTACATTACAGTTATTAATTCATAGATGAAAATGATTTGTGGTATTATTGCTGCGCAAATTTTCATCCTGCAAAATCAAGTTTTAGTTCAATTTGCAGCAAATGCAAACTTTGTTGCCAAAGAAATTTTTTGAGCTCTTTACAGTTTAGTTCACAGGCTTGGCAGTTTACAGCTTCGCTTTAGTTCACTTTTCTTCTCCACCAAAAAATATGCATTTTTTTATTTTTAAATGCTAGTGTGGTGTGGAATAACTTTACATCACTTCAGCACAATTTTTAATTCAATATCAAATAGAAAAATAGTCCTTTAGAATGAATTTTAGAAGTTCAAACTTGCATGCTTTTAGTATAAATTATTTTATTATAGAAAAATCCCACGCATTTTTTATATCTTTCCAAATATTTTGGTTTTTAATCTCACAAAAATTGAAATGAGACATAATTAATTTTCAAATCTTTAATTAATTAGAAAAATTAATGTTTATCGTACAAAGTTTATGCAATACTTAGATTGCCTTCTTCAGCTTCTGCTTTTACTACAACGTGCTTTAAATACAAATTTTTAATTCATTTGAAAGTTCTATGCTCAACAGCATTTTTTCCATTTACTTTCATTCAATTCATTGTTTTTAAAACTTAACTACAAATAAAAAATCGCTCAAAACTTCGCATGATCTCTCTTTTATCACCAGTTGGTTATGAATGATTTTCTTCCAGACAAAATAAAACTTTGAGAAGTCATCAAAAAGTAACTTTCTAGAAAGTAAGTGAGAACTGTTCTGAAGTACTATTAGAAACGAGGATTCAATCACTATTAGAAAGAGGTTTCAATCGATCGATTTTAAAAAGATGTCAAGCAAAGTAGTAAGGAAAAATCTGATTATTTTATAATTTTTTGAACAAATGAGTAATTTTTACACATTTAATATGCATTTTTGATATTGTCTTAGATATGCGTTGAAAAATGACGAATTTCACTTCAATTTTTGAGCCAATCGTAAACAGAAAACTGAAAACAATCAAGTAAAGTTGTTTATTTCTAAAATTCATGAAAGTGTAGACTTGAAGACAAATTATTTTCACGCCATGAGAGAGAAGACATATATAACTTTCAGAATATGCTGGTGGAAACCAATAATTATTGATAAATTAATTTATAGACATTTGTGAAACAGCGAGAGAAGCTGATAGATATTTGAACATATTTTGGACAAGGTCAGCGCTAGCAAATTATTAGTGAAATTTTTTTAGGGATTCATTCAAATCTTTTCATAGTCAACAAAGTGGTAAATTTTGGTATGCAATCAGTAAAAGTATTAATAGTAAATTTGACATCGTGCCAAATTAATTTTGAGAACGAAAAATTAATTTCTGGCAGCCAATTGATATCACTTATATTTACTTTCAAACAAATTAGTGCCTCTAAAATATGCAATTAGTGCTTTCTGAATTTACTTTAACAATTTGATTTCACAAATAGAATTAATATGCTATCATTATAAAATACAAATTGTCAATAACAGTCTGTAATTTTCAAACCGGAAGCATTAATTTTTTTGCTGGGATTATAAAACCTTCAAAAAATTGAAATTTCACTATTAAATTTATCGTTTTGCACTACACAAAATCTGCATAAAGTTCATTTGTGGTAACTTTAATTTGGCAGTAAGTCCTAGTGACTTGATAAAATTTGAAAATTTGTTCGTTTTGATATATTAAACAAATAAAGTAAGGATTAAAAGTATTATCTTTATTAATATTTTAATATTTTCAGACAAGAATAAGCGCATATTATATTTTGATCATTATTTATTGAGGAAGTTTGTTTTAAAATTAGAACAAATTAACCTTTCTTGGAGAATTTAAATAGCTTAAAAAGCTCTGAGGCACTGCATTGACTTGGCTTTCTAACTCAGCAATGATTGACTTCCTTCACTGATAAGTTTTGCTATTACTTAAGAAGTAGACAGTAATATGTAAGACTTATAGGTAATAAAATACTTTTATGCATTCATTTTGAGCATTTTTCGTTTTCTCTATCATTTTGGATAGTAGATTTTTAATACTGCTTTTTAGCTGCGTGAGTCGCATGAAAAATATTCTTCACGCCTTCAGTTTCTATTAATGCAAATCCGAAAAGTAAGAATTATTGGATAAATTTTGAAGCTCATAGTTTAATGCTTTTGAATTTGTGCACTAGCATTACTTGAAAAGAGTTGAATAATTTAAAAAATGACGAATTTGTTACAAGTATAGAAAGTGATTAATCTATACTGTACACCATCTTTGGATACGGTAATAAGCAAATACATGACGATATGGTACATCTGTTTAAAATTATAATTTTAATTGCTAATCAACATTAAATCAGCAAGTATTTTCATTTTCAAAGTATGATAAATTTCAGCAGATTGTTGGATTAATGCTGATAGATTTGCAACTGACAAGCTTTTTCGTACTTTTATTTGGCTTATTTTCGATCTCTGCGATAAATATTAAATATGAAGATGTAAGCGTGATGACATTTCAACTAAAATATGACACATGACACTGTTTCGATATTCCTTTCTTACATTTCTGATTGCTGCTGAATGTGACTTGATTTCAAGCATGAATGTGAAATATGAATGAATAATTCAACAAAAGAAGCAAAAACTAAGCTTTTGCATCACAGATTAAACTTTATGTAATTTTTTGCACAATTTGCACAACAAATTTTACTGAATCGAAATAAAATATTTTGAAAAACGCTTTCAGTAGCAAATTTTCTTTAATTTGTGTTAATCTTTAAACTCGAGTAAATGAGTAAATATTGATTGAGTGGTTGAGAGAGTGAGTCTAGTAAGCCTCTCATCTTTTTAATCAAAATTAATACTATTTGTATTAAATATTTGCACAAAAAAGTTTGAATTCAATCGTTTCAGATCATCCATGAGAATGAACCTGAAGAAGAAACAACACTTTCAGCGGATGATTTTGCGAAAGCTCCCAAAGAGGAGATCGACCTAAAACTTTTAGGCATTGAAACTAAGTTAGATCCGACAATGGGCAATAAGACAGAAGGAGATATTGCTGTGCCTAATGTTAGGGAATTTGACGATCGAATCAGCCGTTTGGGACGGAGCGCCGTTAGAGGAATTTATAGGTTAGAGTCATTTTACATTCTTCACCTTTATCTGTACTTCAAAAATTTTGCTCTTCTGATTGATTAAATTGTTCGATAATATTGATAGCTGTAACTGCCCAATCAAATTATCATGATCATTTGTGATTTTCTGATGCATACATTTATTTTCATATACAAGAATATTGGCTCTTAATTTTTCTCTGAATAATTTGCATAAACCACTAGTTCAAAGGTCTGTCGTTCTCCATTAATTGATTTCTTGACATTTAATAATTATTTAACGGAATTTAAAATGAAAACTTTGTTAACAAAACAACTGCTGTTTAATTCTATTTTTAGATAACTAACTATATGTGCAAATTTGTTGAGTAATTAGTAAGTGTATTTCATTTGTTGAGTAATTAGTAGTACTGAAAAATTTCCCGTATATAATGAACTAATTTATAGCCTTTAATTATTGAACACATAATGTCAGTTATCTAAAAATATCACACAAAAAAAATCATTGCAAAACTAATTACTGAAA